ACTTAAAGATTGCAGATACCTTAATCTAATCGTCATAAACAGTTCCCGCACTCCGGACTACTCGCCTTGACTACTTCCTTCACCACTTCCTACGTCGCGGACCTGTTTTCCTCCCTTCCCATAGCATTTTAGGATTGCAGATACCCTAATCTAATCGTCATAAACAGTTTCCACACTCCAGACTGTTCACCTTTACTACTTCCTTAACCTCTTCATACGTCACGAACCTCAAGCTAGTGTCGTCATTTGATTATAGTACCTGGGGACCGAGCTTTGCTCGGGGAAAATCATTAGTTCACTCTGAAAGCACCGTAGTATTGGAGATACATAAATCCACACATCTACACCCTACACAATTTCCTACGTCATGGACCTGTTTCCCTCCATTCCATTGCATTTAAAGATTGCAGATACCTTAATCTAATCGTCATAAACAGTTCCCACACTCCGGACTACTCGCCTTGACTACTTCCTTCACCACTTCCTACGTCGCGGACCTGTTTCCCTCCCTTCCCATAGCATTTTAGGATTGCAAATACCTTTATCTAATCGTCATAAACAGTTCCCACACTCCGGACAGCTCACCTTGACTACTTCCTTCATCACTTCCTACGTTGCGGACCTGTTTTCCTCCCTTCCCGTAGCATTTTAGGTTTGCTGATACCATAATCTAATTGTCATAAACATTTCCAACACTCCGGACAACTCGCCTAGACTACTTCCTTCACCACTTCCTACGTCGCGGACCTATTTTCCTCCCTTTCCATAGCATTTTAGAATTGCAAATACCTTAATCTAATCGTCATAAACAGTTCCCACACTCCGGACAGCTCACCTTGACTACTTCCTTCATCACTTCCTACGTCGCGGACCTGTTTTCCTCCCTTCCCATTGCACTTAAAGATTGCAGATACCTTAATCTAAGCGTCATAAACAGTTCCCGCACTCCGGACTACTCGCCTTGACTACTTCCTTCACCACTTCCTACGTCGCGGACCTGTTTTCCTCCCTTCCCATAGCATTTTAGGATTGCAGATACCCTAATCTAATCGTCATAAACAGTTTCCACACTCCAGACTGTTCACCTTTACTACTTCCTTAACCTCTTCATACGTCACGAACCTCAAGCTAGTGTCGTCATTTGATTATAGTACCTGGGGACCGAGCTTTGCTCGGGGAAAATCATTAGTGCACTCTGAAAGCACCGTAGTATTGGAGATACATAAATCCACACATCTACATCCTACACAATTTCCTACGTCATGGACCTGTTTCCCTCCATTCCATTGCATTTAAAGATTGCAGATACCTTAATCTAATCGTCATAAACAGTTCCCACACTCCGGACTACTCGCCTTGACTACTTCCTTCACCACTTCCTACGTCGCGGACCTGTTTCCCTCCCTTCCCATAGCATTTTAGGATTGCAAATACCTTTATCTAATCGTCATAAACAGTTCCCACACTCCGGACAGCTCACCTTGACTACTTCCTTCATCACTTCCTACGTTGCGGACCTGTTTTCCTCCCTTCCCGTAGCATTTTAGGTTTGCTGATACCATAATCTAATTGTCATAAACATTTCCAACACTCCGGACAACTCGCCTAGACTACTTCCTTCACCACTTCCTACGTCGCGGACCTATTTTCCTCCCTTTCCATAGCATTTTAGAATTGCAAATACCTTAATCTAATCGTCATAAACAGTTCCCACACTCCGGACAGCTCACCTTGACTACTTCCTTCATCACTTCCTACGTCGCGGACCTGTTTTCCTCCCTTCCCGTAGCATTTTAGGTTTGCTGATACCTTAATCTAATTGTCATAAACATTTCCAACACTCCGGACAACTCGCCTAGACTACTTCCTTCACCACATCCTACGTCGCGGACCTATTTTCCTCCCTTTCCATAGCATTTTAGGATTGCAAATACCTTAATCTAATCATCATAAACAGTTCCCACGCTCCAGACAGCTCGCCTTGACTACTTCCTTCACCACTTCTTACGTCACGGACCTGTTTCCCTCCCTTCCTATAGCATTTTAGGATTGCCCATACCCTTATCTAATCGTCATAATAGTTCCAACATTCCGGACAGCTCGCCTTGACTACTTCCTTCACCACTTCCTACGTCGCGGACCTGTTTCCCTCCCTTCCCATTGCACTTAAAGATTGCAGATACCTTAATCTAATCGTCATAAACAGTTCCCGCACTCCGGACTACTCGCCTTGACTACTTCCTTCACCACTTCCTACGTCGCGGACCTGTTTTCCTCCCTTCCCATAGCATTTTAGGATTGCAGATACCCTAATCTTATCGTCATAAACAGTCCCCACACTCCGGACTGCTCGCATTTACTACTTCCTTCATATCACTTCCTACGTCACGGACCTGTTTCCCTCTATTCCCATAGCATTTTATGATTGCCTTTACTACTTCCTTCACTACTTCCTACGTCACGGACCTGTTTCCTTCCCTTCCCATAGCATTTTAGGATTGCAGATACCTTAATGTATTCGTAACAAAACAGATCCTAGAATTTGCACTGCTACCCTTGACTACAATGTATCGAGTAATCTTAAGTATAATCTTTGCTCAATATTAACAAGTGATGTTTTTCCTTTTGTACTGTATTTGTAATTTCCTAGTATACTGTGGGTAGTTGGCTTATTATGAACACATGCTAAAACTTCAAATCTTTTGTTTACTTTTTACTTGTTATTTAATTCAGCCAACATGGTTACCTAGCAACCCATAAGACTAATGTTAAGAAAATGTGATTTTCAGTTTCATTTTTCTACGGATTCCTGAGAGACTTTTTTAACGCCATATAGATGTTGGCACTCACCGATATGGTCTTTATCACCATGCAAAATTTGAAATTGATTGATTCAGCCGTCTAGGAGGAGTTTGCGTATTACGAAATGCATAAAAGTCGACGTATAAGAGCTTCGCTCGCTTCGCTCGCTCCGCTCAATAACATTAATGCTATGAAATCAACATATTAAATGTTATTCTTTCTTTGATTTAACCCTCTGTCGGTCGCACCTATTTTTTAACGCGATTGGTCGCACTATATCTCTTGGATACATTTTTCCTAAACCACTTTTTTCAGTACTTCAGACATATATTTTCCCCCTAATTTTTATTTTACTTTATAAAACAACTCTTGACCTATAGATTTCACATCTTCTTAGCATTTCTCAATAAGGAAAAAAGGTTGTCCGACCATACATGTTTCTGTATCCATTAGATACAGTGTGACCATGCCCGTTAGAATAAAAATTGCGACCCAGTGCCACTGCATGTATGCTGGGTTTTATTTATTTTCTATATTTAATGGAATTACCGTCAACCGGGGTTAGATTGACCCCTTTTTTGATGTTTTTGTTGATTAATTTTTGTTTATATTGTTAAATATTCACAATATATTTTTTAAATGATATACAGGTACTGTTTGAATATCTTCCAGTAATTATTTTGTTTTTTATGGTCGTAGGTTAGTCATAAAAAAATAATAAAAGGGGTCAATTTTACCCCGTGTCTTGGGGTGACATTGACCCCCCACCAAAATTATACATAATAAAGCACTGGGGTCAATGTTACTAGTCTACAATAAAACTTTGACCCCTGTAAAAGGGGCCAATGTTACTTAAGAACAATAGAGTGGTAACAACTTCAAGGAGTGAACATAACACATTTTTTATGAACACACCTAGGCTATAATGATGGAATAAATCGAATTAGCATTTTTTTCACAGATCACATGATTAGGATGTAACCCCAAGGTAAAACATCAAAACTACAAGTTATTAGATACTAAACTCATTGAAGTTCCTTTACTCAAACCCTTCCAAAAAAATTATAGAAAATGTTGCGCCCATCAGATTCCAGAGTTCCCGGAAATTTACCAATCACGTCTACAGATGGGGCAGAATAGAAAACACATAATTTTCTTTTGGATGTAAATTTGTCCCCATAGATTGTGTCAACAGAATTAAGTCACATTACTTCAACAAACTGTTCATTTTTTTAACTTAACAGGCAAAGACCTGGTTAAAGTGTTGTTTTCCTCGCTTTCCACCGATTGCTTTTACCTCAACTTCATAGATCAAAATAAAACAATTATAAATCAACATGTTTAGTAGGTATATCACATTATATACATATATATCAATTAAATTAAATATACCAGAATCAATAAAAATGATGTGTAATTAGTAACTTGGAATTATTACGAGTGGTCAAAGTTACCCAAAGGCAAAAAACATAAGGGGTCAATGTTACAAGGCCTTAAAAAATAATTATTTATTTATTAAATTTTCTTTATTTGCTTGTAATAAGTGCTCAAATATTCCTAAAAACATATATATTTTACCATATAAAATCCTGACAGTGCCAGAACCAACAGTTTTTGCTGGGCTGAAAAAGTTTTTCGTTATGAAATTATACAGCTGTTTTGTAGATGATTGTATAATATTTTTTTTTATTGTTATAAAACTAATTTCTGCTAAATATTATTTGTTTTCAAATTGCTGCCAACCTACTGTAATTAATCATATTTTTTATTTTCAATTTATTTATAACCTACTATTTAAAAAATAATATAATAAAAATAATTGACCCCGGGGTCAATGTTACCCCTGGGGGGTCAGAATTACCCCGCTTGACGGTACCTAATTTGTTTATGATATAACAGAGATATGTCACATAAAACCGGGACCGGTCGCACCTTATCCATCAGATATAATGGAGCAAAACAAGGATGAGACGACGCTAACAGCGATACTAGGTGTGTGGGTGGAGGGGATGAAACGGCACACTGGCCAAGACCGGTTTTGGGGGAGAACACGAAAATGACAGGAATTTTTCATGTTGCGGTATCTAATAGATTAGGTGCGACCGACGGAGGGTTAAACACTATTGGTTACTTCCTACTTTTGCGTGTCTCGTTTAGTCTATATATAAATGGTCATTCTTTTATTCATCTTGTTATAGGCATTAAAAAAGGAGCTGACCCTGGATCACAACCTTTTGGATTAGCAAAGTAAGTACAAAATAAAAAAAGCTTTTTCACTAAACTACTGTGAAATGACCTGTTTTTCACCTGCGAAAATCGATCATTAAAAAGTAATATTTACTTTGTTTTTTGGATTTTGCCAATGTAAGCAAACATAGATTTGTTATTGTTTTGTCAATTGTTTCAATATTCAACAACCAAAACTATACAACCAGAGTTTCAAATCTTAACTTAAAATTGAAGGCATGTGACAGCCCCAAAAATTCTCAGACCCATTACATATCAGCTGGGGAGGTTTTTGCTACACCCTCAAGAAACCCTGTCAATACCGTCACAAAAGTTTTGCTTTATTTCAAATGTAAAAGAAGGGTCTGTAATATTGGACTGCGCAACTCTGCAGTTTGCCTAACGCAGCAGATTGATTGTTAGGCAGCAGCACTATCCACTCCAGTGTTTGCACTGACATCATGCGGCATAGCCGCAACGTGATTGGCTGGTTCCCCTCCACGGCCAACTTTGCGCTACGGTTGGGGAGCACTCAGTTGAGTTAGTCTAAATTCTAAATTCGACTCGGTCGGTCATCTAAATTGTCGCCATCCCCCCATTTTCTAAAATGCATCTTATCATGAAAATCTGTATCTTAACATTGTAGATCTAACAACTCATTTCGAAGTATTCTCTCTTTCTTGCCAGTTAGTATTTGTGATCATAAGTTATTTGTGTTTGTAGAATAAACGTAAATTAATTATACAGCAAGTCGGTGGCTACAATTTGTTCTTGTTATAATTTTAATAAATTACAGTTCGTAGCGAATTCTCTTTGTTTCATTCGGCTACCTGTCACAGGCATAACCTAAAAAATTCTATGAGTTTTGTTATGTTCCTAACTGTAATAAATAAATATAAAATGTCTGTTTTAATTAAGAAAATAATATTAGTTTTTGTAGTGTAGCAAAAAGTAACGTTCAAATCTGTTTATATTTTTCAATAACTGCAAAAATGTTTGAATTGTGTAGTTCATAGAACAAGTAAAACCCCAGCAGACGATGTGTCACAATTATTATAGTTTTCGCTCACGCCGCCAACACGCCTCCACTAGCATGCAACCAGTGCCGCAGCAGAGATTTACTTTCTATCTAAAAATATAATTGAAGACAGATATTTACAGTTTATAATAATAATATCAGAGAAAGTGGAACTTTAATTTTTATCAATTTAAATAGCAACAACAAAAGTTTTATTTTGCCCAAAATGTTCCGTCCTGGAGCGAATGCTCCACGGTCGCTACACCACTGCGCCTTCTGCCTTCTTCCATAAAGTTTCTGGTTACCTATTTAATTTTGTCCATATTATTATTCTATGGATACCGGTATAGGTTTTTAAAATTTCTTTTTGTAAGCGATTTAGATAGTTGGAATCCTACTGTAGGTAAGGTAGGCTAAAATTGTTACATAGAGGTAATAACCGGTTGGTAGCAGATGAATATGACACTAATATCTTAAACTATATCCACCAATATCCAGCATATCGTCAATGCTAATTCAAGCATTGAATCAGCTTGCTTAATCGCAACAGGAGCAAGATGGAGACCTTAATTTATGGACAACCCTTTTACTTATGGATTCTGTGTTTCTGCGTTTCTTCATGCCCTGTTACAATTTGGACATAAAATGATGCGATGTACAATCTAAAAACAATGTAGACTTAAAAAAAATATTAAATTTATACCTAATATAACTTGTAAAAATGTTTGTTTCAGTTTGATTTGGTAGAGGGGAGAAGTTCAAATTTTCAATTATGAAGACATAGATAGATAATTGTATCAATTCAAATTATATGTATGAAGTTAATGATATAATTGTTTAATCTAACTATGCTCCGTTTCTACTAGACTTTTCAAGTTTAATAATTTTTGTACTCTTATTTTGTATAGAACTAATCTCTAGTCGAATAAATTTTGTTTTGTATTACTATTCAGTGTTCTTCTTAATTTTCCTAAATAATTAAGAAGATATTTTTCCACAAGCCATTGTTGATTGTATGTTTTTTGTTACAATGTACTTGGTCTCAAATCATCTCATTGCATTTTTGTACCTTTGTCTTTTTGATGAAACTCAAATCAAAATAAAGTTTATTTCCAACAAAAAGTAATACAATAGAAATCATAAACATCCACTTCCAGTGAACAAAAAATACAAAGAAACTTACTTTTACTACCTATCACACAAAAGTGAAAATGTACTTATAAACTAGAAATAATTCACAGAAAGCAATATTCAAAATAAAACATTGGGAAATTAGCCTACTTGTCTGGAAGCAGTGCGTAGGCTCAAAATGTAATGAATAATCATATGATTTTTAAATTTAATTCCAGCACAATTGCCAATAGTCTTATAATTTGTCCTACAGTCACCCAACAAAAAAAGGCTTCCTTGCACTGATTATAGTACAGAAAGTTGCTAATTGCTGCAGTTACTTACTTTGGGGCAGACTTGTGTGTGCACATAATCCGTGTACGATTGGAAATAGGTTGGCAACCATGGTGGAAGGAAAATACATAGGTGTGCTATTACCGTCATATGCCGACGTCAGCCAGGAGATTGCAAACAAAGCATCAGCTGATTGTATTGCTATAAGTATGTGTTTGCTTTGATTTGATAATTATTGTTTTTATAATTATTCCTACAGTCACCCGACAAAGTTGGCTTCCTTGTACTGTTTATAGTACAGAAAGCTGCTAATTGCTGCATATTTATACTTTGCCGTACGGTTTATACTTTGTCGTACGGTTTATACTTTGCCGCACATCAGGATTCCAACGAAACAACACAAAACAGCGTGGTTCTGTTATGCACGTAATCCGTGTACGCTTGGAAATAGGTTGGCAAAACTTAAAGATAATAATACTATGAGCAGCTGATTGACTATTATAAATACGATTTAACCTGTCATTTCGTGTTTATAGTTTCGGTACCTATTACTGAACTTTCTGGACTTTTCTTTTAAACGTTTTTAAAACATTCCTACGATCTTAATAAACAAGAAAATACCTTTAAAGCATTTTTTTAGGCGCGGAAACCACTTCAAATTACAAAAACATACAAAACTATATTCTCAAAACGCGGAGCACATTTCTTGCCGAGGAAAAATAGCGGAGTGATACGGACCGCGGGTACTACTTTCTCTAGGGCACCATTTGTGTTGCCAGCTGAACCTAAAAACGTGTTGTATAGTGTTTGAAAGACTAATTATTTATATGCTTTATAGTGACTGTAGGAAAAATATAATGTGTAACACGAGTGAAAAAGGCCTTTGCTGCACTCGAGATCATTCCGCACTCGCCGCCGTTGCTCTCGTGTGCAGCAAAGTGCCACTTTCACCACTAGTTACACAAATAACTATTTCTAAATGGTAAAATGGTGTTTGCAATCTGAGTAACGTCAGCATATGACGGGAATAGCACACCTATGTATTTTCCTTCCACCATGGTTGGCAACATTTAAAGACTATCAGCTGGTGCAGCGTTTCCCATTTCGTTCAATGTTTGAAAGACTATTTTTATGCTTTATAGTAACTGTAGGAAAAATATAATATATGTGTAACGCGAGTGCAAACTGCCTTTGCTGCACTCGAGAAACTTTCCACACTCGCCTACGGCTTGTGCGTAAACATTTCTCTTGTGTGCAGCAAAGTGACACTTTGTCCACTAGTTACACAAATAACTATTTCGTTGTTTAGGTTTAAATATGCTTTTTAAATATATTTTGATATTGTGTTGTATACTTAATACAATCTTAATCTTATGAACCAGAATTAATTATGATAGTGACTTATGGTGATGGTGCCATTGTATGTAGGCCCTTCCAAAATTGTATTCAATAATTTTTTTCTTGATTTAATTTAAATTAGAACAAAAAAAAGTAATTTAAATTAGCTGTTTTACCTCAAACTAGCTGTCAGTCAATGTTTATCCAAAGCTATGAACAGGCTATCAAAATTTGGTTATTTACCATTGACTAACAATAGTTACTGGTTTGGAATTCTGATTCATGATGGAAATGTTTGAGTATGCTGATGTAGAATAAATTATTTTATTAACATAACACATAATATTGTTCGATGCATATAGAAATTAAAACAAGTTATTTGAATTATAATTGTACGTTTTAACTTAATATGTTTTTTTAATCAACATTTATTTATATACAGGTGGAAAGAAGTCCCCAGACAGTTTAATTGATTCAAATCTATATATTTAATACGCAAGCAGTTTTCTTTTCACAGTCATAACTCGATAACGGTTTGACGGAATTTAACGTTTGAGGTGTCAAATTAAAGGTATTATCGCGTAGATGTGCAAATACGTCTCAGAATTTTTAGAAAGGGCACCACTTAAGTACACTTAAGGGCTGAAGTTTGGAAGGCGGCGCTATCTGTTGGCATTTGATCAAACTCATTTCCCTTTGTTTACAAATAACATATAAACGTACAGTTTGAAATAGTTTTTAAGGTTAACCACAGACTGCAGGACTTAAAACTTCCAGAGCAAAGCTGGAATTTATATTTTGTTTCAATCTGTTAACTAAGTCTGGTTCATAACGAAGAGTAAATATTTAATAAATATTTAACCCTTAGAGTGCCAGGCGAGAAATAAAAGTAACGCTAAAAAAATGCCGATGATTTTTCCCGAAGGTCGCGCTAAAAATGCCGAGCGCGATCTGGCGATTTTTAGGTTAAAATTTCGTAAAAATCGAATTTTCGATATTTCGACCAACGAAAATCGATGTATCGCATCTAGTAACTTTCGACTCAATGTTAATATATGGGTTAAAAGAATCCGAGTATCCATTCGGTTGTTATGACAACTGTTCGATCATTACGAAACGTCCGGTCAGCCGGACGTTGGCACTTTTGGCTCGTTCTAAAAACGTCCGGTCGGCCGGACGTCGGCACTTTTGGCTCGTTTTAAAAACGTCCGGTTCCCCGGACGTTGGCACTCAAAGGGTTAATTCTTTTTTTACTATGGTTACATTGATTTACCTTACATCGTTATTTTACTGATTATCATGTAGTTACAGTTCTATGTGATGAAGTGAGTGTTTAAACGTGATTATTCACAGGGCAGTTACCCGTTACATTACCGTATTATCATGTAATTTACAATGTGTATATACATTTCAATTCCTTTATAGTGTTTTCTGTTGTTTGGTTAAATTTCTTATTCCATTTCAATTTAAAATCAAATGCCGCCAGTACGACGAAGAACTGTGAGTGGCTGGAGGGAACGCGAACATGACCGCTTGCATCAACCTCTCAATTGAACATTTGATGGGTACATAGTGGTAGTACCACCGTTGTGATAGTCCAATCTCGGACAAATGAACGTTAAATGTTTACATTGTAGTGGCTTACATATTTTTAAGCAAGAAAAGGCTGGCCGAGACGGTTAAGTTTGTACTCTTTGTTGCCATAAATGAAAGGTTTGTTTACCTCATTTGTGCAATTCACCACAATAAACTTCGGGTTCTTATTGGAAACTCCCAATCTGAAAATAGGACTTTGAGACTTATATCCAGAAATTATTTGGATAAAGTTAAGATCCGTGACACGTTTTACCACCGAGTGGGTCCTCTAATTCCTCAAGAAGGTGATGATCCTGAATACGCACAGATATTTAAGTAAGTACGACAATGTCACTAGAACCCAAAGGAGAACTAAGCACAATAAAAAAATGCAATGAAAAAATATGCGGGAAACAGGGTCACAATGCCAAACCATTTGCAAATCTTTGAAGACTGGCAGACATTATGTAGGGACGAGAGCTCCGAGGAGTCAAGTGAGATGTAAGAGACAGAAGAAGTGTCTTCCCTCGCTACAATGGTGCTGCCTGTGTAGACTTCGCAGCAATTTTTAAAGCTGAAAACAAAGCACCACCTGGCCAAATAAATCGTATAGTTTTTCCAAACCCTAATAATGTTAAACGCGTATCCATTTTAGATCTGTCGTTAGATTCAATTGCTTACCCTCTTATGTTCCCAACCGGAGACTTGGGTTGTGGCCCCTAATTTGAATACGCCTAAAACAGAATACATCAAAGAAGTAATTTAACAATGCTAGAATAAGAGTAGCGATGATTTGTCAAGAGAGGAATTGAGCTACATTAGGTCAAAATGCTCACTTTACTGTGTGTGGTTAACATCTACGTGCTCAGAGTGCACCCGCCTACTATACATTTAACCAAAGCAGTATAAGAGTGAATGTAAATTTAAATATTGTAGATTGATTTTATAGTTTTTTACATCATAATATTTTTATATTATTTCTATAATCAGTCATACAAATTATTTTAGAATGACTCTTTGATTAAGGTCTTGCTATTTATGTTTTATGTTTATTTTTTTTTAACAAGTTTAAGTTTTGCTCGATTTTGAGCAACAGGTTATCTAGTAATAATAAAGATAGAGCTACAAGGTTACTTGGCATTGGAATCATTTGAACACATGTGAAAATTCCTGGAAGAATACCTATGAGTTGAATATGTAGAAATGTAAATGAATAGTTAAAAATTTAGAATTACTGTATTGGGGATTTTGTTTTGTTTATTTTCATTTTCAGGTTTTTACTGAAACTACTACTTTTTTGACTAGTTTTTCAACTTGCTCGGCAAATTGTGTTAAACTAAAAATAAAGAAAAATACTCAGCTAGTTTGGGTAAAAAAATACACCAAATATTATCACAGAATACATTTTTAATGCACAACAAATACATTTATATAATTCAAATAATATCTCTAATGTCTTAATGTAGCACAGGAATGCAGTTGTTAGATTAAAATATCTTAAAAAAACAACTTAATAAGTTAGGAACAAAAAGTTAACTATCACAGGTTGATAAAAAACAACAGACAAAAGTATGATTTTTGCAAATAGACTAGATTATTTTTGAAAATTTATGGATGGATATTGATTAGCTGTAGATTTTAATTTTCATAAAAGAATGCACAATTCATTATACATATCAATTACCGGTACGAGAAATATTTACTACTGTGGCTAGGATGTTTGTCTTTAGTGGAGCTCCTATAATTACAAGTAGAAGCCACCAAAGGTTGCAAATGTGAAAACGAACAAACAGTAAATATAAAACATTGCAATTACTAAAGTTGACTACTAATAAAAGGTACTTTCCTGTTAAAGGGCACATAATAATGAATGTTCGGAAAATTCATTATTATTGATGATTTTTTCTTGATATATCGATATTAACAAATTGAAACATATCAGCTGACAACTACGCGATAAATATTGTTCAGTATCAACGAACAATAATGAAATGAAACTGTTCTAAAAAAAATAACCTAACATAACTAACCAAACTTGCTATAACATTTAAACATTCCGTGTTTAACTTGCCTTTTCTCTTATCAAACCCAAACGGAATTTTTAAATGGTCCAGCAAGTTTGGTTGGTTATGTTAGGTTAGCTTAGAATAGTTTCATTTCTTAATCCATATAATAGACTATTTTAGCCTAAACAAGATCAGTTAGTTGTTGTCAATTTGTAATGGATCGGAAAATAAAAATCATCGATACAGTAGACTCCCTCTTATCCGGACTCGTCGGGACCGAGACCAGTCCGGATAACAGTTCTTCCTGTTAAACCGACGTCCCCAAAAACTCGTTAAAACGGACCGTTTACTGTGATATTCAACTTAAATTTAGGACAGCATTGTACTTAGATACGTCCCTGGTCTCAATTCTTTCCCACGAGAATAGTCGTTTCAGTACCGCCCACTTCCTGCTGATCTAGTCCGGTTAAACCAATGTGCTGATAAAAATTGTCCAGTTAAAGAGATTTCATTTCCGCCGAATGTAGTCCGGTTAAACCGATGTCCGGTTAAAAGGTGTCCGAATAAGAGGGAGTCTACTGTAAATGAATGTTCTCTTTAATAGGAAAGTACCTAACAAAATAAATAATTATTTGGGATAAATTTGTCATCATACCCACTGATGAATCCAAATTTCTAATGGTCAATTTGTCGTCCATATTTATTTTAAAAACTAGACTCATATAGTTTAAAAAAATTTCATATTTAAACTTAAAATGTTAAACACTATTATTTATATCACCCTGTACTTAACTAAACTAATTTAGGTCCTAAATATGCTATCCCTAAGATCAACATTTAACATTAATGATAAGAGGTTTTCAAAAAGAGTAGAAAGAAAAAATAATGAACAACCAGCACAGGCCAGTGCAATGAGTTTAGTGTCACAGAACTCGCACATACAAACTCCCTCTTTCCGGCTGTTATGCGCCTTTATAAGGCGCCATCGACTTGATAATTTTTTTTGTCCTAGGATGCTAGGCACAAGCCCGGGATTGTTTTTCACATTACTTCAGGCTAGACCTAGGGGTTGCGGCATTATCACTTAGATAAATCCATTGGTGATTTGGCGGGATTTGAACCCGGGACTGAAGTCGCACGCTATAACCACTACACCAGCCCTCAGGGAAAGCCACACCTCTAAAATTGTTGTAGTTATTGCTGCGGGTCGAAACTGTACCACTTACACCGAGACTGAAATTCTGAGACCCTGACATATCAGCCCTTGCTATCAATTAAAATTTAAAAATAAGTAATATTTCGGATGAATATTTGTGGGTAAAGATCTTGCCAACCAAATAATTAGGTTACCATTTTTCATGTACAGTTAAACCATTGACTATTTGTTGTATTAATAGTCAAAGGTTAAACCTCACTAACACGACACTCGTTAACTAAACAGCTGACAGGGCGCACGCAAAAAGCAATTTATTTCAGAACATTTAGTTTTAATTGTTTAATATTCGACATTTCTTTGAAGATTGTTTACTAAATATGTAAAAATACTCATGTAAGTAATAAATAAATTTATCTGTAAAAATTATACTGTTATGATTTATTAAAACCTATTAAAATATTCTGGATAACTCGACGACCTCTGGGACCGCAAATTATTGAGTTAAGAGGTTTTACTGTACTTACTTGGATTCTTAGATTTCCGCTCACAAACACTGAGAAATTTAAACAAAACAACAAATACTTCTTAAGAAACTGATAACAGAAGTGATGGAGAGGCAGGCCTGAATTAGATGAGGCGGGGTCAAAAATTAGTCCAGGCTGACGGAGATTTGGCAAGATTGCTGTCTGAAACCTTCAAATGGTTACTACAATGGTATTACAATGGGATTGTTCGGATGTTACTAGTAAGTAGGGACCTTCTGAGACGCGCCCCTACATACCTTCACATAAATAAATATTCAATTTTTTTCTACAACCACCCAATATCAATCTAAAATAATTGTGAAACGCCACTAAATAAGTCAATTATAAAAAAACTTTCCTGCTAATCTAAATATTGAAAATGAACCTTAAAACTGTGTCTGATATGAAAACTAGTGAGTAATGAAACCTATGTTTGGCTATGTTAAGGAACATGGACATTTACAAGGCACTAGGTTTACAACATTTTCACTAACAGTTAACAACAAACTAGAGTCTACAATATAACCGGGATACAGAGTAGTTGGATACAGGTAGATAATCTCATTTGTACTAATAGAGATAAGTTAAGTTGCCTAAGTGTGTTTTACCATAGACAAAATAAGAATTAAAGAAATATAGACTGACAGCAGTGCTGCAGTTAGCATATATTTTCGCGTCCACCGTTAGGAGTGCCGTTTAGTTTCAGCGCATTCTGCTGCAGTATCAAGTGCTAGCAAGCGTTGCCATGACAACTTGGTAGTTGGAGCCAGTGTTACCAACTTCTGGAGAATTCCCAGGAATCCGGGGAGTTGGAGTTTGTTCTGTTATTTTTCTGCGTGTTTAAAATTTCTGGGGAAAAAAACGTCTTTTTTGTTTAAGTTACGGGATTTTGTACTTTACCCATATTGAACAGTGGATCTGATACGTTGGTAGCATTTTGTTTGCAAGGGTGGTAGTGCTGGTAGCAGATGGCGAGTTGACGACGGCAGCAAATCGACGGAACACTGAGCAAGCTCTAGCAGCACATCGCGGAACCTTCCTTTGTCAGTCTATATTTAATTATGTTGTCTATGATTTTTCAATCTTTATAAGGTGCATTTCCATTAAATCAAATGACTTATAAGGAATTCCTGGGGGGAATGCCTGGGTGTTGTGCGGCTGGATTTTGATAAAAACAAAACAGCTGGTCATATTATTAAGGGGTCACTAGAAAAACAGGCCATGCTGCAACACAACACTACGTCCAGTGGTGGACTTACCGTAAGGCGGACTAGGCACATGCCTAGGGGCGCCTGGCCGACAGTCATAATATCCAAAAAGCCGTACTTATACTTGTACAATTTATTTATTTAATGCATAAATTGTAACAGTATAACAAATAACTGCATAGAATCGTGAAATCTAATCAGATAAAATTGTGTTTTGAGTAAGATCCTAAACATAAAATAAATAAAGGGCCCCTCTATTTCTTTAAAGTTGAAGTTAAATGTTACATTATAAGATTATATACACAACTCATATGAAGATGTGACAACACAGTTCATTATAAGTAAAATTATTGTAAGCTGTTTTGAATGCTAAATTTAAAATCAAGAACGGCAATACGTCCGGCGATTAATTTGGGCTATTCATATTCATTCTTGCCTCAACCACAAAATATATGTTTTTCTTAAAACATATACATACAACTTTAATATAATGTACTCATATTGTACTATGTCTTTCTTGGAATAATGCATTAATAAGCGGGAACGTATAACCCAACGTATAAGCCAACAACGGGAAATTTAATCTCGCTTATACGTTGAAACCTTTTTTTTTCGCGAAACCCAAGGCGGCGCCGTAGGTAAGTCCGCCACTGACTATGTCACAGTGGTGGATAGACGACACTAAACTCTTACCATTAAAATCTGACAACAGCCAGCTCATTTACCAAAAACATATGGGATATGGCAGTGAATCTATCAATGAATCCACTAGTGTGACGTCATGGATCCTGCAGCATGGCCTGTTTTTCTAGTGGGGCCTTGATATTATTCACAAGTACCTAGTTAGTTGGAGGAAAACAGTTGTTATTAGAACACAATAATTTGTTTAATGGAAATGTCCCTGTAAGATAGCACGTTGTTTGATATGATGTGACATAGTTGTCACTAAAATATAGTAGGCTAAAAGGTATTAATGCAAATTTTAATAAATTATTTAAATATGAATAAAGCTAATACATCAGTCAATCTTAAACCACAATAATAACAGGTAATGGTTTAACATAAACTTGGAATGAATGGTATCATTGTACATAGAAACTTGACATTTTGGGATTAAAGTCTTTGTCGGAATATGAAATTTCATGGAAAAATAAAGTTTGGACTGATCAATTTTAAGGTAAAGCCATTATTTCAATTGTATAAGTTATAGAGTAAACATGCCAAACTATAATCATTGAATATAAATAAATACATTACTACGTTGCATCCTAAATCAATTATACAACTGTGTTAAAATTACAAAAATAAAAAGATAAGTAAGGTACAATCTTACAATCTTGTTTTTTAAGAATAAAATTATCTAATTAATTAATTGCCTAAATGCAGAATAGGTAAATATTTTAAAGAGGGTTTTAGGCTCCAAAAATGTATTGGGCTTACATAAGTATGAAATAAATTAATAATTTATTTGCAAGCCCATTACAAACTAGAGACGTGTCATGAACAAACACAAATTCATAGGTTTAAAATAATTCAATTAATAAATTCATACACCGACTATGATTGAAGATTATAGAAAACAAATAGAAAGATCAGAATATTATTTTAAAGCTTAACAGTATGAGCTTTTGCAGTTATTAAGTACACAATATACTATTCATATATCAAACATTTACAACAATTGTATTGACAGATTACAGATTCTAATTTGCTAAACTCAAAACTCCTGGGGATGGGGTTCCTGGAACAAATAAACAAAATATAAGGCTCAGAAAATACCACACAGTTAAAGTTGCCAAACCAAACAAAACATTATTAACTGACATAAATGGACTTTTAGCTAATTTGAGGTATTTTACAGAAAATTGGCCAAGTTTTTACTATCGCGATTGCAGAATATGTTTGCATTTGGGAAGATTTCGCGATCAAAATATTCACGCTCTCGCCGCAATCATGGAGGACAATTATGATTTTCCATGACTACAAGCATAGACAAAAAGAATTAAATATAGACCGTCAGCTGTGCTGCGGTTACCATAGCTTCTGGCGCACACCGCTTGGAGCGCCATGTAGTTACGGCGTACGCGCTACGTAAACTACAGCGGTGTGTGCCGGAACCTATGGTAACCATGGTAACCGCAGCACGGCTGACAGTCTATATTTAATTCTTTTTGTCTATGCTACAAGAGACTAAGAAGATGTCTACAAGACTGGAATATTTTAAAGGTTTTGTCGTGATCGTAAGAAACGATGACGATGTTTCCATGACTACAGGAGCCGATAATATTGCCCATACTACCGTGGCAAAGGTTCTGGATTCTGCCCCGATCATGGTTTCTGCCATCTCTTTGAAAACTAAATTGGTTATGATCACATTTACACTGTTTGTCATTATCTTTTATAAAAGTCCTCGTAGAATCAAAGCATTTAGAAGCTTTGTCCATGGGGGATGCAGGCTTTGAATGTTCTATCGTTACATTTGAAATGTTTTTACGTGCATGTTGTGTCTATTGGTAGGAAAGCGGTATAATGTTAGTCTTAGTAATACAGATTCAGACATTGACATACTAAATTTAGGGACTAAAATGGCAAACAATGACTCAGTCCTATTAAAAAAATGGTCTACTGTCAGGGAAAAAGTTCAGACAGACACTTGAGTTTGGTGCTCTACAGAAACGTCATTTTAAAACGCTGTAAAAACACGTAGCATGATCACACAGCAAAGAGACTCACGTCACAGTTAAAAAAAAGGAAAGGGCAAGCAGACAAGCACAAAATCACAGAAATGGGGCATCTGTTCCGCATAGGATTCACATTCGTTCTTTACTTTCTGGATGACCTTCGTACAAATCAATACTCCCCTTCACCTGCCCCCCCACCCCTGTTACTTGTTTAAAGTAGTGTATTGTTTTATTTTGAAACAATATGCTATGTGAACTCAGAATAGTGCTCCCTTTTGGAGATAGCACTAAGGCCCCTATTACACGAGGTAGCCTGGCGACGTCGCCAGCGGCAGTAGCTGGCGACGCACTGGCCACCATACCTATAACCAGTTGAGTAGCCAGAATTTTACCGCCGTGGCGCCGTTGTTGTGAGTGCTTGTCTTGCACTTTTACTTGTTATGAGCGGTGTTTACAGTGAATAATGAGTGATTATAAGTATCTTCTCCTTCTGTTACTTCTGAAGAAAAGGAGGCAAAGGAATAGAAAAATGTACGTTCATCCAATGCTTAGTGCAAGAGAATCAAAAGGGTTATATTACACCCTTTTTGATGAGCTCTGTGCGGACAATAAAAAATGTTTCAATTATTTTCGTATGTCACAATCCAGTTTCTTCGAGTCATAAAGGATGATATAGACATTTTATCAACTGAAGTGAACAATTCACACACTCACAACACAACAGAACGCAACACAACAGTGTGCAAGTACCCCCGTGATATGAACTAACCGAGTGGCGACGTAATACTGGCGACCTAGTGTTATAAGCTCCATATGCTACAACGCAGCGTCGCCAATATGGGTAGCCAGTGGCTACCACAGTGGCGACGGGGCTCGGTAGCCAGTCGGTCGCCAAAGTGTGGCTGCGTCGCTGGCTACCCTCGTGTAATAACATCCATAAGAATCAATGCCCCATGACAAGCTGAGTAGCCAGTTTGGTCGCTGGCGACGTCGCCAGGCTACCTCGTGTAATAGGGGCCTAATACTACTAAAAATCATAAAAATAACACGGATGCAGATTATCTTGCTGCTCCTGGATGGCAGTGTTCCATTGCCTACGTTCAACGGAAAAGCAGCAAATTAATATTTACATTATCCTAAAATGTTTGCCACCTCATATTTTCTCAAGCTATCACGGAAACATTATGGTCATTTACCGTGAACACAAATTACATGACACAAGATAACAAATAGCAATTTGCGGCTGATTGCATTTGGTCATTATTAAAATCTTTTAATATCCTGTTACCATACAAAACATATGCACTGTTCCCAGACTTTTTTCTGGACATCAAAATTAAGGTACAGTTTCTTAGTTCTCTCGGTTGGATAGACATCCTGACAATGTAGGCCATACAAAGTTTCTTTTAAATAAATGAGCTTTCCTTTTGCAACTATTGCACCATCTGTCTCTGGCCCGTAACATGGCTTAAGTTTGAATAAAAAACATATCCTACCGGTAATAGGTAGGCAATACTGATTTTAATTTTTAAAACCAAACCAATTCTACCTAAACCTCAATTTCTTACACTCATATTTTTTTAAGATACGCCACAGAAAACGTACTACTATAACCCAGAATGCCAACCGCATGGTAAAAAGCATTAAGCGTTTTGAGAGAGCTTTGCCTGTCAATCCGTAGGCAGCGCCACCAGCGTTGCCATGCGGTTGGTATTCTGGGTTATCGTAGTACGTTTTCTGTGGATACGCCCAGTTGCAATTTATATATTTTAGCAAATTTCCCATATAGGGAATTTAAGTTATTACCGTAGTACTCATGGTAAGACCTCGACCCGGGACCGGTTTACTTTTTCATTTTGAGGTCCCTAGAGGCCAAAAACACCATCCGTTCAAATTCATAAATATATAAGAAAAAATCTATATATGAACTATCAAGGTCATGTAGCAATTCATCTGAATGAGCAATATGGATATATATGTCTCCGTTAGCATGATAACTCGAGCAAAAATGATCCGATTTTGATGAAATTTGGTATAAATTATTCGAACAAGTACGCAAACCAGCATGATAGGACTATGGAAACGGGGGTTTAGGGGTTTGATGGGGTAAAAATTGGTTTTTCTAATTTTTGACCCAAAAAACATAAAATTTAGCAATTTATTTCCAAACCATTTTGTAGAGCTTTAAAAAACAAATAATATAGCATATTGAAGCGTTGTTATGTGCCTAATGGTTATAGAGAAATTTAAAAAAAATTGTAAACTTAAAATTCCCATGTTTTTTTATGGAGAATTTAAGTAAAACTATTGTAGTTCGCTTGTTTATGAACATATTTTGATCAAATTTGGAATATGCATTTCTTTCTTAATTAACTATTAACATAAAAAAAAAACTTTTACCCTTCCTGTGGCAGCAAACCTAAGTACTCGTTAAACTAATTCTTTACGGAAGTACTCGTTAAACTAATTCTTTATGGAAAGTAAATAAAAGAGACGTCTTATAACATATATTCACTTAAAACATATATTCACGCTTATACTGTTACTCACAAGACGGTAAATATACAAAAAAGATGGTAAGTGGTGATCGATTTCGATTGGACACTCCAATCATCATCAGACCCAATAGGCGAACATTCGTAAATAAAAGGTACATATATACACACACATCTATAACAATTTGAACAAATGGTGTTTTAGGTCTCTGGGGACATCAAAATGAAAAAGTTAATCGGTCCCGGGACAAGGTCTTACCGTGCCACCTATAGTAATAGCTCTACTTCCCCATAGGGAAATTCGCTAAAATCCTTATCGAGAACAAACTCTCTATGTAGCTTAGGTATCATATTAAATAGCCTATATAGACTACTGACTGACAACATACCTATCTGATGACAATAGGAGCTTTATCACTTTCTGGGTCCCGATCCCTGCAGGAATTTAAACGGGAGATGTAGTACAAAGCCACCAACAACAGCCCAATCAGCGCAGCTATGCCCCTGGAATTTCAATTCAAACTATTATTGAATGTTGCTGGTCTTTCAATTTGAGTTCAAACAATGACTGCACCTAGCTGCTAGCTATCATAATGACAAATAAATAAAAGAAAGTTAATTTGTAGATTTAGCTTAGAATTGAGCTTAATGTAGGTTACTGTAGCCAAAGTTATAAAATGAAACGATAGGCTACATTTTAAAGCGAACAAGGCAGCATAAAAGGCATACAAAGTTTAACTTTGTTCAATTAACTTAAATGAAAAATATGTGTTGACAAAGGAGATCAGAGAACATTGATTAACTTATACCAGCAGAACAGAATGGTTGAAATAAACATTTTAGAATGGATGTGTTGTGTTTGTAATAATTTACCTAGGCCTATTTGACAGTTTGTTTTCCGTTTTAGAATGCTAGACTTGGATCAGAAATACACTAATCAATTGAGATGGCTATTAGCTATGTCCACACTCGTGCGCTTTCAATTTCAACACACACTTCAACTTTCAATTCAACATGCATCAACGCATGCGCTTTAAGGCATGCCTTTCAGCTGTCCATACTCGTGCCTCACTTTTAGATGCATTTTCCTAGATGGATAAATACGACTCTTTTCTGTTCGGAGGAATTAGTGCAGCACAATTAGTGTTAAGATGAGTTAAAAAACGTAATAAATAAAGGGGTACAATGTAAATGAAGAAGTACTATAAAACTTATACTTTATTTGATTTTTAACTTTAACTTACTCTATTTATTAATTCAATTTTATTTTAATTTATTTTTATTTAACTAGCGAACCTGGCGCATGGAATCATGCGCAATCTGGACATAGGAGATGAAGGATTTGTATTCATCTTTTTTATTTGGCGTTTTCGGGTTTCTTGGTTTTGGTTACAGGTGAAGATGGTAAAAGAAAAGGTCTAATTGTTTTTGCAGTTTATTTTTTGTAAAAGTCAGTAAAAGATTCACTTTTGATTAATCGACGATAACCTAAAGGACAAATTAAAGCCCCTCGTTCCCACCACCATCTGTGGCTTAAGTCTGGGACTTATTTGCCAGGCCAATTCCCCATGAAAATATTCTTTCTTCTTAGGCTTCGGCCACTTTCACTCCTCGTCCAGACACATTATGTGTCCGAAACCCTAACAGCACGACTCCCTACTCCTACTGCCCTGAGCGACAGGGATCATTGTGGTTGGCTCTAACCTTTCCTCTCCCATGGGGAAGTTTTCATTCCTTTTCTTTGTTTGTTTGTGATTGTTTATTTTTTTCAATTTGAAAGCCAGTAGGCCTATGTATCTTTGATCCCTTCTATTTCCCTAGCTACTTTCCTAAACGTCTCAATTGTTTCCTTGCCCCTCATCAAGTTTTTTTTTCTCATCTGTAGACCTTTCCTATCCAAGATTTCTTCCTGTTCTTCCCTATTTGCCTCTTAAAGTGGACAATTCATAAAAACATGATTTGTGGTCTCTATTTCTCCGCATCTGCATACTTACTCTTCTACCAGGTTAGATCTTCACAATTATGCCTTGAAATATTCCATGTCCTGTGATAAACTGCGTTCAAAAATGATGGTCTATCTCCCAATCTTGTTCCTGTATTTGGACGTTTGGCATACATCAGAACGTTTATCTTTATTCCTCACTCTGCTCCCATCCCATTTGTAACTCATCTTTAGTCTTCTCTCTTCTGGCACTCTTCCTTTCCGATGTAGCCCTCCTACCTGCCTTCTTGTCTTCCAAAATCCTAATCCTTTCTTCAATGAGCAGGTCCAGTGGTATGGCTCTGGTCAAAACCCTAATCATATCATGAGATACTGCATCCTTAACCCAGAACTTGCATCAGTAAAGCATTGCTGGATCAACACCCTTTGTACAGTGTCATAAAATGTTCCCCAGTCATTCCTCTATTGACTCTGGCCTGTCCTGCTAATTTCTTGAAGACTCCTTTCATTTTTTCACACATTTCCTCCTTATATTTTTAAATAGTCATTCCTTTACCTAAAGTCACTCCTTAATCAAGCTTGACAACACATCAAGATTCCTGATTAACCCAATAATGGCGTTTTCCAGAAATTTTTGGCCCACCCATCCTACTATCGGATATAATCTAATATTCTTTTTGGAGATAAAAAACATTTTTTAAACTAATATCAATAACTTGTAATCATTATTCTTGAGCACCTATCATAAAAAATTAAACAGAAGAATGCAGGGGCCATCCCTTACAATGGATGAAACTGTGTAACAAAATATTGTTCCTTCGATATTGATATCCTTCACTCACTAGGCCTAAATAGTATCCTGTTGACTTTTAAATTCATTAACTTAAACCTAAATGTGTTTTGCAGTGAAACACAATTTTTTAAACCATAAAAACAGAATAGGTAGCCTACCTAAGTCTTTTATCTTTTCAAAAAATACAATAAATCCTTAGCACAATCCGTTTCAATTAATTTAAATTTTAGTACTACTAGTGTCCCTGTTGCTCGAACTCGAGCAATTGCTAAGTATTACAGGCGTTATTTAAAAAGAATAACATCCATAATTACTGATGACTTTAAAAGATTTGACTCAAAGATTATGGAAATACTCAAGATGCACATAACAGATCGATATAATCAACATTTCTTGTAAATATCTTATCATTTTTCCAAAGCTGATCTTGTTTTTTAGTGTTTTCTACAAATAGCCTTATTCATAGCCGCATTAGGTTGTCCATAATAACAATTATAAATTCAAAAAAAAAAATTCTATTTCTTTTCCTTGGTGGTGTTCTATGACTTTTCTATGTTTCCATAGTTTGCAAATCGGCTCTTTCAATGATTACTACAAAATGCAGCACAGTGTTAATTCAGTTTTATTTTTAGTATATCAATTTATCCAGGCTCTCTCGCTTTTTTCCATTGTAATATTTACGCCAACCCAAATGAAAAAGTAAACAATTTCATTTAAACCAAGTCAGTAAATGTTTGTAGCAAACTGTTAAATTAGCAATCTTGTTGACTGTTTACAATTAACATATGTTCTTCTTCTCACTTTTAATTTCTGACAACAGCTGGAGTTTCATAACCATTTTTGTTTCCCATGTTAATATTATGGAGAAATACGAAAATTAAAAGGGCCCTAGGGCCTCACTCTCTAATTATTTGCCTAAAAAGAAAGTTTCCTGCACAACTACATGTTACGCTCTTTCCAATGACACCAAAAACATGACAATCGGTTCAGTAGTTTCGGAGGAGTAATTGTCACAAAAAACCTGCTTGCGTATTAAATAAGTACTAGTGGTCGTCCTGTGGTCGAAACTCGACCAAAAATAATTAATGTACAGACTTCTCTATTTTCTCCCCACACTGTAAATAAAACATGTGATTGGAATTTCTTCCCTTTGTTTTGATTTTCTGTTTACATTTTGTTGTTATTTCGTCATCATCATGGCAACCCATATGGTCCATGTTAATTTTTTAAAGTTTTCAAATTCATTTTTTGTGCTTATTTGTTAGCCTATTTTAATTTTTAAAGGCATTCTGCACATCTACAGGAAAATATCTTTCCAACAGTATGCGTAGATTTTCCCTGCGATGCACACGAGCTGAGAAATAGGTTTTAAAGAAACATGCTTGCCTATTAATATATAGATAGATAGATAGAATAGATAACCAGCTATTAAAATATTAGTGCAAATTTCAAAGTATTCATCTGTTCAAATGTAAACAAACATGTTCTCCCTAAGAATAACATGGGAACTTTGAAGGCCACTGGGGCAGAGCGTTGATGGAGTTTCAAAGATATTTTGATAGATGGCAAATCTACGTGCAACGCCCTATCCAACGACACCTTAAACTTGGTGATCGGATGAATAGCAGCTTCAACACAATTATCACAAAAGTCCAACAAACACATATGAGAGCGATAATATTTAGTTATATTTTTATTTTGTTTTATTTTGCATGCTACAAAACAGAATAGGGCCTACACATTCCATTAACATTGCAGCACTATCGTAATTTCTATGAATTCTAAGGTTTCTTCGTTACTCACGTTGCTCCAAGCTATTGCACCACGCTTTAAGTTACTTGTAAAAAATGTAAAGCAGTAGCAAATTGAAACACACAGAAATGAAAGGCTGGTGGTTCGCCTTGCGCTAAGCTGTGCGCTATGAAGTGGAGCTTCTTCCGCTACATTCGTGCATGCCTTGACGCATGCGTTACTTGCATCAAGATGCATCAAGGCATGCTCAAAGAGGCATGCGCTTAGCGCACAAGTGTGGACATACAAACTATCAGGTTATTGCTCCTGCTGGGTTATTGCTGCCCTCATATGGTAGGCTACTATGTTATGGTCGAGTAGGGTAGCCTAAGGTGCTCGACTATAGGCATTGAAAAAAGAGTAGGCCTTAACTGAGATAATTGATAAGTAGGCATTTTCAGTAAAAAGTTTGTATAGGCTAATCATAATGTTCCTTAAGGAAAGTTTAGAAAACAATTTGATTTTAATACAAATTTTGTATTCTTACCATAAGTACCATGTGCTATAGTTGTAGTAATTGCAACATTTGTTATCCCCACAGCAGTACTGCTCAGATGGATGACAAATCATAAATTCGCAAAAATCTGCATAAACATGATTTAGACAAAGGAGTTGTGTTATTGTTAACATTGACGTACATGATGATGACATAAAGCCCATCGTATCATCGATTCAACAACACAACAACAATCAAGCACAAATAATATATCCTTTAAACAGTATAACTATACACTTATTTACGGATTAAGTCTAATTTTCTTGTGAAATCTAAAACTGAACGAAACGGATTGTTGATACTTCTCGCCTCACAGCAGTAGCCAGCCAAGCCAGCAGAGCAGACATCAGTGACAGAACACAGAACTGACAGCACAACAGTAGTTTGCAGACAATAATCAGCTGGTGTAACATGTGTTCTTGTTGTTCTCTAATTCATTTCAGATTGGCCAACATGCTTAGACAAAAGAAAACCTTTGTTATTGCATCGGTTATATACGTAAGATACATAACATATATATATATACGCCCCTTCACCCTACCACTAATGACGACTTACAGCTAGGGGGCGAGCCAAAGGCGAGTTTTTTTATATATATTGCCTTCCGAACCAACCGAATCCAAGCCAAACAAACAAGTTAAAAGTAGTTACAAGTTTTATAACTACGCGGCAGTTTTTCTTTTTACATTCGAACTTTTGAAGCATGAGTTAACCCCAATGATTAGTTTTGCTTTTTTCTTTTTTATTAAGAGCCCATGTTTTTATAACTTTAATATTATGTAACAGAAAGACAAAATGTATCTTTGAGCAATAACGGCTGTAGAGCACAGTACCAACCACACGAAGCAGTGAGAGTTAAACAGATGGTATTCCCAGAGGTTTATGCGATGAATTTACTAAGGGAAACGGAGCGAGTGCCGTCCTATTCTTTGCCGTGGAACTGTCAAAACCGCCAGATAGGCCCGAGTGCCGTTTGACTCCCCAGAGATTAAGAGTAATTCAGGAGGGGTTTTAGTGGACGGTAGTTTCTTGAATGGGCTGCCCTAATATCGATTGAAAATTAATATTGATTCCATTAGTAAACTTTCATTCAATTTTTGTCATAAACAGCAAGTTATATAACAGGTAGGTAGGTTATATAACAGTTTCATTTCATCCCTAAACAAATTTTGCTCATCCCCTCCCTGGTCGATCCTTTCACCCTCGTATCCGCCGCACCGTGGAACCGGTCACTGATGCCTGGCCGGCACTCGCCCCGCCAAGCCGCTGTAAAATGACCCTCGTCAAAGTGCAAACGGCACTCGGCCCTGCACTCATTTACAAAGGAGCTGGAAATAGACAGGGAGGTATCAGGTATGCAAGAAAACACGACGAGTCGAATCGCTAAATGAATGACAAAGAAGGTGGAAGATAAGTAACAGGGTACGGAAAACGTTTCAGTTTTTACCTGTAGTGAGACAAAGAAGAAGAGTGGCATGGTAAGCGAATCATACACGACATAATTAATTTTAAAACGTGCCTGAAAATTGGTGCCTAACTAAGAAGCTTAAATTTGCTAGAAAATGAAATATGCAAACAGTACTCTGTTGAGAACTAGAGATATTACAGCATGTTCTGATGGATGATGGATTTTCGGTACCATGAGAAGAACAAAGTGAAATGAAATACTGTAGTACCTAAGAGATGTACCTGGGAAAAGAATAGCTTTCTATGGAACAAGTAATCTGCAGTCAGATTTTCTAGCATGTTAGGTAGCTAGAATCCTGAATTTGAAAATTCGAGAAGGCAGACAAAAGGGAATCTGGAAACTACGAGGAAAATATTAAAGAATCATTCATCATCATTTTCAATCCTTCATTTTTGGGGTACAGAACAAAATCCCCCCAAAACACCCCTTCGGATTAAGCGATCTGGCTGGTTTTTGAACTTCAAGTCTGATATGCTACATTAATCGTTTGTACCAAATTTCATCAGAATCAGACCATTGTTACGTGAGTAATATAAAAGTACTGTAATAGCTAATTTCCTGTAGGAGAAATTTGCTATAATGCCGTTAGAACATTTTACGAAGATTGTGAAATTCCCGCACACACAATAATTGAGGAGCTCTACATTTTTGTTCATTAGACTAAAGTAAAGCCATCCATGAAAAAAATCCGGACATTAATTTTCCCTTGTCAAAATCTATATTTCCTTGACTATATCAGCTTATCAAAAATCGACAACACTAGGAGATGAGAATGACTGTGAAAGCGCCAGCTGGTGTAAGTTCCATTCTCTCCCAACAGAATGCGCTTAGAGCCGCTACCTAGAGACAGTCTTGATTGCTGGCATGCTGACACTGCTGACGCTGACATTGTTGTTTTGTAGACAAGAGCCAATCACAATTGCTAAAGGCTAACAACAAACCACGTGTATAAATAATGCTATAATTACCCCCACCGCAGCAAACCTTTACACTAAGCACATTGCCATTTACCTGGCTGGATTTCCACTTAAATCCTTAGAATCTCAGACGTATTCCATAATTAAAAAAGTTAACATTAATTTTAACGAGTACTTAGGTTTGCTGCTTCAAGGAAGGTAATACGGTGGGTTTTTATTGAAACGTCGACGGCTTAGTATAAAATAAAAATAAACTTTTCAAATTCGATAAAAATGTATCAATGGATAAGCAAACTACAACACAGCAGTTTATTTATTCTCCGTTAGGATAATATGGTCATTTTTAATGTATAGTTTATTGGAATTGTCTCCGTAATTCCGTTAGGCGTACAACAACACTTCAGTATACTAAATATTTTTTTAAGTTCAAGAAAATAATTTGGAGAGAAATTGCAAAATTTTAATTTTTTTAAAACCGATTTTTAACCCATCAGTTATACAATACATATTATACAAGCCGTTCCCATAGTACGATCATGCTGGTATAAGCGAAAAAGTCAATCGGTCCCGGGTCTAGGTATTAATTACCATGCTACGGTAATAGCTTATTGCCTATGGTAAAAAGACACAAACCTTCTCGGAATGCATGCAATGATTTATATTACCTTGTAATAATGTAGTGGTGGTATAATTCTGAATATTTACACCATAACTAGGTGTTATATATATATATATAAAAAAAAATTATATAAAAGTCTTATAATACATGATTAATTATAGATAGAAAGTAATACGCCTTAATTTAGTTGATTTTTTAGATGAATAATACACCAGTCTTAAGTATTCAATGTTTATAAATATTTTAAAGCTTTTGTAGTTCCCAAAACCACTTGTAAGTTCAAAAAAGTGGCCAAACAGTCTAATATGTAGTTTTACCCCGCCATGTTAAACTTCCCTATCCCAAGTGTGATCTATACAACATGTTACAAATGCTGTAAAGTTGAAAAAAAAAACTCACTCGGTGAGGTAATAAAACCCATTAAAATAACATTGAGTGCTTCTTAAAAAATATAACATACTAGCAGAGTACCCGTCCTTCGTACGGGGTTGGCATGTAAGTATAAAGTGACATTAGCGTATGGTTTGACAGCTCCATTTAAGTAATGTTAAATAATGTTTACATTCAGGATAGTGACATCATTATTTTAAATATGATCCTTACCCTCTCTGTTCTAGTATTCATGCAGTATTTAAATGAATGTTTGAACCAGCTGTATGGAATTGTGAAATCAAAATTAATTTGACAGTTAGTACTGCTTGTTTACATTTTTAAACTTTGTAGGTTTGTTCTTTGTTGTCATGGATACCATCAATCAAAATTTACTTTGAAATCTCTCACCTCCGATTTTTGAAAGCCCACGGGGCAGAGCCCTAGGACAATATTGAAGCGGGAATAGTTCTATATGTATCCTCGGAAACAGCCTATTGGGCTCAAATTGCACACACATGAAGCTACAGAGCTTCATGTGTGTGCAATTTGAGCCCAATAGGTTCAGTAGTTTTTGAGATTAGCTCATACAAACACACACACAGACACCACCTCTTCTTTATAATAGTATAGATAACTCTATGGAGCCAACGACGTTCAACGCTAGAAATCAGCTGTGCGCTTGAATTTTATTGTTATGTTTTGAAGAATTTTCCTAACCTAGCTTTTGTTTGTAAATTAACGTTACTGTTAGAAGATGAATGAAATGGATAATGAAAAATATTGTTCGTAACCTCCTGTATATTGTCGGGTCAGGTAAAATCTTGTACGTTACACGTTACGCAAGAGCGTGTTTACACCACTTAGGTAAATTATGCAACTCGCTTCCGCTCGTTGCACAACATTCACCTGCGTGATGTAAAAACGCTCTTACTACACTTGTAAGGTAAATAGCTATTACATTGCTTCGATAATGTATAAATATGTTTCAATAGCTAATACACCTTGACTATATCATTTTAGCCATGCGCGTGTGTGTTTTAAAAAGTTAAGCGGGTTTTAAATTTAATTCAACCGTCAAAATACATCTAAATTGTATCAAGTTGTGTATGATTACTTATACGAGTAGTCGTGTATAATTTTAGTCATGTATATTTGCTTTTACGTTCTTATAACTGCACAACCTATAGCATGCCGCATGCGTATTTTAAGTAAGTTTTCACTCTTAAGAGGTGCCTTCCGTCAGTTTCTATCATTACATTATTTGTGACGTTGTAGGTCACATTTCAATGATGATAATGATAATTATATGTCCTGTTACTTTTTATAAACAATCTGCAAACCCATAGTCCCAATTTTACAAATTATTTAAATTAACATATATATGTTTCTGTTATTGATCTGAAAGATTTGTAGGGTACAGGGTGCACCAAAATAACCTCACGGTTTTTAATACTAATAACTCAAAAACAAAATACAATTTTATGTACTGTATTAAATAATTATATTATATTTTGTAGACACTACTATGCAATTTTCATTTATAAAAAAATTATATCACTTAGGTGATGACCTTATCCTAAACGCAGGCTTCACATTTTTTTTTTGTTATTTGCAGTCACCTTCACTTGATAAATAGAAGCAATTTCTTCCCAGATACACTGCTTGAGTTCAGGGATGGTTCAACATTTCGAAACAAACGCTTTTCTTTTCAAGTATTCCCATAGCCAAAAGTCACTCGAAATTAAGTCTGGGGATCGAGCTGACCACAGCACATCACCATACCAAGAGATCACCTTACCGGGAAAGAGTTCACGCAAAACTGTCATTGAATGATTGGCTGTATGACAAGTTGCGCCGTCCTGTTGAAACCATGTTTTGGTCGTGTCTATCCCTCCCAACATTCACAGTTGTGGAACCAAAACCCCCTCAGTATTCCCACATAGTGTTCCGAGTT